TAGATTGGGAGAACGCGTATAATGTTATTCAGGGAACGAAGCCGTTGACCCTGTCCTATGGCTTAACAGACTCACCGTTTGGGATGCTGTGCTGGATAAGAGAGAAGCTCAACTATCTTGTCGGAGATGACTTCGAGTGGACAAAGGAGGATACAATTACTTGGGCGATGGTAAGTTTGCCCTTTCCATCATTTCTTTTCGACGGGGTGCTTAGCTTACCAACAATTCTCAGCCATACATCCTTAACGGCTCCTCAGGTCATGCGGAAATTTATAAATGGGCACAGCGTGGAAGCGAGTACTCTTTAGCCGAGGCCTTTTCTAAGCCCGTGCCCAGCCAGATTCCATTTGGAGCATCGATCTTCCCCAATGGTATGTATCGTTGATCATTTCTGAATGATGAGTTCATCTCTAACCACCTACACAGACGTCATGTTTATTCCTCGCTGGTGGGCCGAGGGTACTCTCTCGTCTAACATTGTCTTTTGGAAACAACACGATAGTGGTGGACACTTTCCATGCCTTGAGAAGCCCGTGGAGCTTGCAGCTGATCTCAGAGAATTCACTAAATGCATCGATGGCAAAATTATTCGGAGTTTGAAGGAAGACCAACCCACGACTGACTGAAAAACTTTTGACCCTTAGAGCGATCTGGTAAGGCTTATATACTTTTTATCGGAAGTTGAGTCTTCCTCACCCTCTAGACGAGTGCTGAAAAGAGTCACTGGCCATCAAATTTAGTGCAGGCTATATGGTTGATTGATATGAACAATTCTTGAGTGCTATGCTTGGGTTACTACAATCTGGCCCCTCATAAAATAAAATACTACCCTAACCTAACATAAACATGTGCAAAATTTGAGCCATGAACGTCGTAGGAACCAGACCTCAATAACATCGTAGAGGCGGCCTCCTCACAGTGAATTATTTTGCCGCTGACGGTTGGATAACTAGAAGGCAGAGACTGCGCCCTCCCTATGAGCTAATTCAAAAGCAAGATGGCATATTCTCCTTCAAATCGCATCTTAATAAGTCGCGAAGCGGGATGATGATCTCCCTCTTGGTAGTATTTGAGAATGGCGCTGAGATACGGTGTGCATCATCACTCTCTGCTGAATAGCTCGCTGTTGCTATGTATGGAACACATTATGATTTGGGGGATGCAGGCTGAGAGCTATTTGTGGAATATAGCCCCTATTGTTAAAGGCCAATGCAACCCAATGTTTTACCAATGTCGCATTCACGTTGCCACATTTGGTGGAAGAATTCCTTTTCAAATCCGCCTTATTTAGCATGGAGCAAGCTGCTTCGCATTAGCTCAGCCTTGATTCGGATCTCCTTTCCAACTACTTCCTGCACCTTGATGGCGGAGTTTATTTTCGCCTTTGTATGAGGTGGGATGATGTTGCATCGCTTGAGTGTTGAGCATGCGGCAATGGAGTGTGGACCAAACCCCCGCCCATCAACGCACGTTCATAACACGATGCAACCCTTACGTCCCCAAGCACCAAATCAGGGATGTCATGATCCTAGGATGCTCGCCTTCGACATTATTTCTATGGGCGTGGGATCTTAGATCTCCATCGCTTAACCTCTAGATGATCAGCCCCGCAAGATGCAGGACAACTTGGTAAGATATAATGGAAAGGTTGCACTTTCACTCTGTTTCTAGGTGGCATGTTCAAAACGTGACCCGGGATTGCTGACACCCGAAAATTTGCGGCGTACTGGCATGATTTCTCATGGTGTTTAAGGAAGCTCGAGCGCACAGAGAACTAGAGTGTGACACTTCATTTCTGACCTAGTACTTATCATACAAAATGAGCTCTTATCCGCCCTCGGTCACAATTCCGGTGTACGTAATATTCACCGCAGTTGGGATCCTTCTTACAGCGCTTCGATTCTGGACACGAGCGGTATTGACGAGACAGCATCTTGGGGCTGATGACTGGTTCATCGCTGGTGGTGTTGTCATCGTGGTTGCTTGTACTGCTATCCAATCCCTTAACGCCCTTCATGGCACTGGAGGTGAAGCTGTGTCCACCGAGGACGCTGTTGAAAAAGCCGTCACCGCACACAAGATCAACTTCATCATGGTTGTGATCGAGAAGCCGGCCTTCGGTGCTATTAAGCTTTCGCTACTCTTTTTTTACCGGAGGATCTTCACGGTTCGGCGGAGTTTCCGCCTTGCTAACAACATCCTAATCGTGATTATTATTCTGTGGACGGTGGCCTTCGTACTGTCTGATCTGTTTATTTGCGGCACTAAATTGTCTCTGAGCTTTGACGCGAACCAGAAGCTTGCCGCAGCTCATTGTGGAGATAAGGGCCTTATGCTCCTCCTCTTCGCGATCACCAGTTTTCTCACCGACGTCTCAGTCCTGGCTGTTCCACTGTTTTATATCAGAGGACTACAAATGCCTAAGCAGAAGAAATGGGGTGCTGGGTTTATTTTCCTTCTCGGATTAATGTAAGTAGATGGATAGTTTACTGCGAGTACTGTATGTTTGTTAAGCTTCGCTGACACTGAAGGTCATCTTAGGTCTACCGTCGCCTGCATCTTGCGAATGATTTTCCTCTGCATAGCCTATCCAATGGGTCGAATGAGTTGGGGATATGAGGGAAAGCCAAAGGATAAGACGCCACTTGTCCTCCAAGTCTTCAACCCTACATTCTGGGTCATGATCGAAATGTGTCTCGGCACCTGGGCCGCCAACCTGCCCCCTCTTGGGCCGCTTCTGCATTCCATAGGAATTCGAGCATGCCTCAGTAGGGCATATCGGAAGTTCTCGTCTGCATATTTGAGTGGTAATCATGACCCGGAGAAACCGACTGCGCCGGAGACTGAAACCGGAATACTGAACCGGGAAAATGAATGGCCAAACTCTTTTGCACCTGTCTCTACTCACCCAGAACCCGCAGGGCCGGAAGACATGGTATAAAGCTGCGAAATAACCCTTTTAATAAGGGCTAAAATAATGGATTAATGTTACCAATGACTGTTGCTGAATTTTCTCCATTTCTTTCTTTAGATACCCCATAACGAGACATATATAGCATTGATAATCAAACTTTTTCTAATATGATAGGATGAAGTTGATTTGATGTTCATTTGTTTGCAGATCCGAAGGACAGTTCAATCTGTGAACAGCTGGCCCCTTTTTGAAAAACCTGCCAAAGATCATTTCTGTTCCTTCAAATAACTCCCTCTGATTCGTCTTTATAATTTTCCAATGATTAATAAATCTACCAACCTATGTATTGTGTTGGGGAAGAACACGTCTCTAGCCTACATAATGAATTGACAAGGACCACAAACAAGTTGAACTACTAATTAATTCACTCTCAACGACTTAGGCATCCTATATCTAGGAGGCCTAGGTGGCCGAAAGCTTGTTTTTTCCAGACTGACTTTTAAGCTCGAAGGCGGTATATCTAGTGGACTTATCTTAACACTCTTGTTTAGCCTAGAATTAGTGAGGCAATAATAGTAACGTTCTATACCAGGAAGCGCGTATAGCCACACGTGGTCAGGAGATTGGTCATGAGGTTGAAAGCATATTGAACCAGAACTAAAGAGACAAAGAGGATACCAGGGTGTTCAGGTTTGAAGCAGCCGTAGTTATAGGGCAAGATACTGTGTAAGCTCTACACAAGATGAAAATCAAGAACAGGAATATATTCCTCCTAAGATGACAGATGGGCAATCTTCTTTGGCAATATGACTTCTTGATCTCAATCTATTTCAAGGCCTTCAGCGGAGTGGTTTCTCTGTATTATCTAGGATGTGCCTAGTTGCTTGCGCTCCCCCAACACAGTACTCAGGCAGCACGAACCCCCTTCGTTAGACGAAAGATCTTAGAGCAATAAGGTGGGCATCGAGGTTTTTTTTTTTTTTTTTTTTTTTTTTTTTTTTTTTTTTTTTTCGTAAATCAATAGGTCCCTAGGTCCTGTGGGTTGTAGACGCTACAAGGATGCAGGCAGGCTATGCTACGAGCGGCAAGAGGCTTAAATAAGAGGTCCTTATGCGTGTCATCTTTTCCTTTCTCTCAGCACTCACTGATCAAGGATGCCGTCAGAGCTGAGGGGAGGAAGATTGCCGTTAAATTCGTATTCCGATCCAGCATGGTCTCGCCATGAGTGCCTCCTCCTAGTGAAGAGTCGCCATCTATCTCTAGCCTATGAGCTTAATATTGATTACATATAAACTCTGCCTCGGTAATTATGCCCAACTAAAGATGCATACATGTTTGCCAAGCATATCCACAGCTGTGTGCATTATTGGAGAGCAGGACAACCCTGGTACATCGAACTCCGATTTTGGATTTTCGCTACACTTTAGGTGCTTTTTATTAAGTTGGCGATAAGAGAAGCTAGGCAAGGGCATAGCTACCATCTTCTTGAAAAAGCCCCTTGCTACCTGCGGCCAATGTAAATCTGGAATAAGTATTCTATCGCTAGCCGGGTCTTTGTAGGGCTTTGATGGGCAGCGCATGGCCACGGCTATGGGATAGAAAGTATGACATGAAATCGCCGCAATAGGAAGTATGGTATGTAGTATGGGCATGATATGGATGCAACAAGGAATATACGACGCAGATGGAACAGACCCAGCCAGGTGGGGTTGACTGCGGGAAACTGGAGAAACTGGAGGCTACAAGCGGTCTCATACCACGTATTAGCCTATTATCAAGGGGCAGGGACGGGAAACACACCGATCCGTCACGAACCATTGAGGGAGGCTGCATCCACAATTAAAGTGTAGAGCATGGGAACTACATCTGGTGGTATGTTGCATTCACCGAGGAATTGTCAGCCCATAATTACCTATTACTCGCAAGTTCGATAGCTTACTAGGTCCACTTTATTTGGTCGTTCATACAACAGCAAGATAAAGCCCCCCAACTACCATTGCTCTTCATCAACTGAGTAGTAGATGAGAGCTTATATACAGTCTCTCACCTCATTCACCACTTTCCCTCTCTGAGATATCATACCAATATGTCTACTAAAGTTCTTATCACCGGGGCTTCTGGGCTCATCGGCTTCCGTATTCTGATTGATGCTCTGGCTGCTGGGCACAAAATCTATTTCACCGTTCGATCAGAGGAAAAGGCCCAGATTATATTATCCAACCCAGAAATTAAGAATTTGGCACCTGGTGACCATCTTAACCCTGTCATTATCCCTGATTATACCGAGGATGGTGCCTTTGATGATATTCTCAAAGACGTCACTCATGTTATTCATGTGGGATCGCCCGTCACCAATCCTACATTTGACTCAAAGACGGAAATCTTTGAGCCAACACTAAAGATATCTGCTGTCCTTCTCGCTTCAGCACTCAAAAGCCCTACCGTTCAGCGAGTCGTTATCACATCATCGGTTGTGGCTAATGTTGGCCTCCACCCCTTCTCAGCCATACCTTCTGCTTCCACACGGGGTACACTGCCCGATCCTATACCCTCGGAGTTTAAAAATATCCAGGAAGCGTATGTCCTGGCCAAGATGATTCAACTAGAAGCATCAAAGGATTTTATCAAGAAGCAGAACCCCAACTTTACTATAGCGCATGTTTTCCCTGGCTATATCTTTGGTCGCAATGGACTTATTCTTGATGCTACCCAGATGCGGATTGCGAATAGTTCCAATACCTACTTCATCTTGGGGATGCTGGGGGGTGAGCTCCCTTTCCCTATTCCTGGCAGCTACGCCCATATTGAGGATGTAAGCAACCTACATCTTCGAGCTGCATTCCTTGATCCATCCTCGGCGGATATTTCTAAAGATTGGGGCATATCTATGGAGGTCAACTTCGATACCATATTCGACCACGTCGAGAAGGCTTTCCCCAAGGCTGTTGCAAATGGTATTTTCAAAAGAGGCAAGATAATCACGTTGCCCTTCCCGTATGATTCCAGCGATACCGAAAGATTCTTAGGTGCCCCATTGAAGGGCCTTGAAATTGCCGCTGTGGATGTTGCATCACAATATTTGGAGGTGCTGGGCAAGGAGAAGGCATAGAATCTTGATAAATCGATAGAAATTAGAGAATACCTTTTTAAGCAAGTCGGATAATCAAATTCGTCGATATCGACAAAGACAAGAACGGTTTGAAATCATTACATAGAGTATGAACATAACTAAATAATTGACCTACAAAAAAATTCGTTAGTTTGGAATCAATGGTTTAGCCTAGAACTTTGCGGCGCGTTAGAAGCTTTTATTAGAGTATAGACGTAGTGATTATACCTAAAATCTATCTTTCTATGCATTGGATACCAACCATGCTTCTTTCCAGCCCGCAGCTGTCAGTGATGCAAGAAACATCCTCATCTCAGCAACGAGGCATATTTCTTGGCACGGGATCTGAGAGGAAGATCGTTCGGGGCCTGCTTAGAGAAAAGAGCGTGGGAAACACTGCATTAGAAAATACCGCGTGATGGCTATTAGACTATCCGTAACTCACCAGGACAAGGTTAATAAACTGACTCGCTGGGCCTGAGTCAGAATGGCCACACACCTCCGGTCAACGAAGACGTTATATGAAGATCAAAGCCAATTTTGTCCTTATTGGGAAATAAATTTGATTCGAGTCAGTATCCACAGTAATATAAATTTCTTGATTCGACTCGGAAAAAGAAATGATAACTGACGGCCTTGCTTGCGGAAAATCTTTTGCGGACCTCCCTGGTCCATGAGAGCGGATAAAGCCTGCTCATCTTCCAAACCAGTTCAACCCCTCTGATTTGAGAATATGAACATATATCTAGGATAAGGGTTTGATTCTATTTGCAGGCCCGTGATTGTGTAGTCATGGCCAAGTCATTGATATATTTGCTGTTGGCGTGGGTCGGCGTTGCTTCACCACCAGCTAGAGATGGAAATTCTGCACTTGCACAGAAGTGCGAGTCAATCGAGCTGCCGCAATTTGGAGAATTTGATGTAATCATTATGCACAGTTCTCCAGTATTCGATTACTCGATCACAGGCGATCCGACGCAAACAGTATCGCAATCAACAATCGACTTCTGCCATATCAATGTTTCCCTCACTCACTCTGGGGCAGATGATATTGTACTTACCAGCATCTGGCTACCTTTCCACGGCTGGAACGGTCGATTTCAAGCAACTGGAGGCGGTGGTCTTGCGGCGGGATATTTTGACTCTGCCCTAATTCAACCCGTTACAGATGGCTACGCTGCTGGTTCTACTGATGCAGGACTTAGCCTTAACAATACTATACTGGCTGGGGATGGTAGCTGGGCACTTACCCCGGAAGGCAAAATCAACCAGGATCTTATCAAGAACTTTGCTTACAGGTCTATCCATGACATGACAGTGATAGGCCAGGCGGCAATTGTGGCATTCTATGGTCAACGACCTCACCACTCGTACTATACCGGATGTTCCACGGGAGGTAGACAGGGTTATCTCGCAGCCCAGTACTATCCCGAAGACTTCGATGGTATTATGGCCAACGCTCCTGCCATATTCACTCCACGAGTCTCGCCTGGCGACTTCTGGCCCGTCGTGGTCATGGAAAATATCGTTGCACCACCTCAATGTGTGTTCTCGGCTTTCCAAGCCGCTACAATTAGACAATGCGACCCCCAGGACGGCGCCACTGATGGCCTCATATCGGCCCCTGATAAGTGTGATTTTGACCCTAAGACTCTTGTAGGGCAAACTGTCGATTGCACCGAAATGTCTGCCTCAGTGGTTATAACCACCGAGCATGCTGACGTTGCTGCTAAGATTCTTGAAGGCGCTCGTACGTCGTCCGGAGACTTTCTATGGTTTGGCAACCCTCCTGGGGCAGCTTTCGATGGGCTTGCCAACACAACGCTTGTCAATGGTACAATAGAAATCGTTCCTTTCAGTTCTGGGGAGGCCTGGATGAAATACTTTGTTGCTCAAGATCCGGAACTAGATACCAAACACATCTCATTTGATACGTTTGAATCATTATACTTTCAGTCAGTCCAGCTTTTCACTGACATCCTCGGAACGGACAACCCGGATCTTTCAGACTTCAAGAATGCCGGGGGCAAGCTCTTGACGTGGCACGGCATGGCAGATGCCTATATTACCCACCCCGGGACGACCTTGTACTGGGATAAACTGCAGAAGAAAATGGGAGGGCCAAATTCTGTGGATGATTTCTATCGAGTATTCTTAGCTCCAGGTGTGGCACATTGTCAAGGCGGCTACGGGCCAGTCCCCTCAAATCCCCTTGCAGCACTCGTAAACTGGGTGGAGAAGGGCAAAGCCCCCGACACACTATTCGCTTCGGTTACCTCTAAAGGCCGTCAGGTTAGTCGAAAACTCTGCCATTATCCGGAAAGATTGAGATATAGAGGTGGTGACTTGAACGATGCAGAAAGCTTCATCTGTTCAGGTCGTAGCTAAGATAGCTAGGGACGAGATAAAGCCTGTCTTGAAGTCTCGACACATTACTAGTTCGTTCATAGGAATTGCGTATGCAACAGCGCTATCTGCAATAACGAAATTTCAAGGCCTAACCTCCAAGTTGGAAGGCTTCCTCTGTGACTATCGAGATAGGACGAACAGCCAACTGAAGCAGCAATTTCTTCACAATGAACAACGAAGACCTTCGGCTTGGCTTGATCACAGAAGCAACTGCTTACTATTTATAACATGCAAACTAGCTCCTCAACTATTGCAATCTCAAACACCAGCAGGCCATCTTTTGTATAACTACATACACCCCATGAGATTAGCCTTCCTTGGTTGGCCAGAACTGGAACACGAGTTCCAGGGTCAGAGGACGTGAGGTACAGACAGCCGGAGAAACAGAGTAGGGCGTGGAGCGAGGGAGTGAACTCTGACGCGACGGGTGTCTTACGTGGTCACGCGGGGATGTGTGCGGGTGGCTCCATGAGCCTGGGAATGTGATCAGACCCTACCGGGACAGGTGGCGTTCAAGCAACTGCGAGTCCAAGCGTGAGAGTTCGTAGGATCAAAGTAAAGATGTGGTGCGTGATAAGTAAATCCAGGTAGGGCATAGATATCAAATTTTGTGGTGTGTTGGCCCGGATCCGACACGCCTGATTTGATTTGGTGCCTCGAAATTGCGTCGCCGATCCTTCTTCCTCAATGCGATTCATTCTTGCGAGCTTGATGATCAGCAAGAGAGCATTCGACAAGCAATTCACAAGCGGTTCTCAAAGAACCAAGCACGCAAAGCTATTTGCTGGACATTATCTTTCCAATGTGACGCAATACCCGGAGACAATACATGTATCTTAAGAGGGGTCACTTAGTAAGACTGAGTATTGCTACCAGGTAGCAGCAATGTTATCGCGTTGAGAACAATAAACATTATAATCTCAGATTGCGACAACTATGCCATATTTTTGTAATGAGCTGACACGCTGGCGGCTTTTCTACTCTGACGTCCAGTCTGGAGTCTGTGTGGGAGAGATCAATGGATCATTGGCATGTGTCATGTGCAGTTGACTACCCTATACGGAAGGATACATTTATTGACCCATTCAGTTGGTTCATTGATTTGAGCTGCAGTGGAAATTGTCAAAGTGTATAATATATATATATATGTTTTATACTTATCCTTATTTGTGAGCGGTATTCTACTCTGAATGATGGCACACCTTCTGGGATGCAGTGGCGAAAGAGTTTTTAGGTCCCGGTCGAGCAGGGTCAAACACATACCACTGAGTACAATGATCGATTTTGTCGTCGAGAGCTCGGTGGTTGCTTCAAGTTACCTACCCTACAATGACAATCACCACACGGCCCAAAGCGCGGCTTGGAGTGGAAGGATGAAACATTTTAGCTCTCGTATCTTATCTGCACGTAAATGAGTTATTCCTGTAAAACACTACTTTGAGACCCGAATGACGAAGAACATACCTCGGGCCGACTCACTTCTGGAATGCAAGCAATTCCAGGCGGATGCAGATGAGCATTACAACGAGCATTGCGGGATTGAAGCGGGGAAAAGACTGTCCGAATCATTGAAATATGCCTCAGCTTATTACAATTCTATATCAGAGTATCCGGCTAGCCTCAACGCAGAAGCTGATGGGTCTCAGAGGCTCTCAGCCAGCTAGCTAAGTGCGGATAATAAGTCCCCTGTCTCGGCCACAGATCCTTTGCAACACCCGTTACGGATGGAAACTGCGATTTCCAGAACTAGCCTGCTTAAACGCCGCTGAGCTTAGACAGAATCTCACGCGCGGACCGGTGGTCAGGGCACAGGCAAACCCTGGATCGCTGCGCCTTGGAAAGACCCTGCCCGAAGATCGCCATGACATTCAGGGTGAAGTGGCTCACGGGCATTAGCGAGAAGAGCCCAAGAGAATAATCCTAGTCGGTCTCGGCTGTAAATGGCACATGTGCCCCTTTGCCTACGGAGGGAGACTTGGCTTGCTAGCATCACCGATTCTTTCACCTCTTCTGACCCGTACTTTCTTGGTGACTGGTCACGGATTGCTTGCACCCGGATTGTTACACGCCCCAGCCCTCTGATTTTTAATTCAGTATGTTGTAGATTTCCCATGACAGTCAAGTTATGGAGCCTCTTCAGTACAAGTACCCACCAATTAGTGAGTGTGCCCCTTTCTCATAACGTAAGTCCATCGCTGGTCTGGATCAGCGTCGCCGTAACTATCATTCGAGTTTCGACAAATCCGAGCTGTCTCTTTCCAGTAAAAGCTTGTCCCAGTAATAAGCATGATGAAAATTTCCGACGTCTAACCCACACAAATCATAGCCCAATACAGTTTGTCTAACCGAAGACCTTTTTGTCAAATTTGCGCAAGGGTACGGCAAGCACAGCCACCAGCAGGTACTTGGCTCTGTCACTGTCTAAGACAATAAAAGCCTCGCACATCATCCAAGACCACGGGCGAAAGAACATTAGGTAGCCTGAGAAAATGCCAGGGGTTGTTCCAGCCATGTTCCGCCATTCTGGAACTGACTCTCCCTGCCGGACTTCAAGGGTAAGCTGAAGTTCCTGCAATTATGGGTGGCAATTG